TGCTTCCCCTGTCCTGGTCACCAAATCACAGCACATTTATTCTGTTGTTTAGTGTCATGACAGGACAGCAGCCTTAAAAACACAAAGGTGCCTCCACTTTTCAGGCCACAGGTGGGTAGGATGGAGTCAAAACCCCAGAAACAGCCACATCTAGTTTTCTGTTTGGGCAGAAGGATACCTTACATTCCTTTTTAATGAGTCCTAAGTCTGTCTGACCCACTCTCACAGGCATGAACAGGACTACTTGGGATAGCCCTGAAACCAAGTAGCCATGAGCAGATCATCTGCCCTCTTCTGACCTTTACAGACACCGAGTTGCACATGCACAGATACACACACACACACACACACACACACACACACACAGAGAGAGAGAGAGAGACAGAGAGAGAGAACGAGAGAGAGAGAGAGACAGAGAGAGAGAACGAGAGAGAGAGAGAGACAGAGACAGAGACAGAGACAGAGACAGAGACAGAGAGATCTTGAATAAATAAATTGAACTGACCTTGGGTCCAGCAACAGAGGCAGGACTGGTTTGCCTCTGACATCTGTGTGGATGTTCAGAGTGGACTTTTAACCTCCTGTCTTCTAAAAAGTTGCATTAAATTTGCAAAGCCTTCCAGTAAGATGGAAGGATGACCCTGTGTGCATGTGAGCTTGGCCTCACCTATTATTTCAACATTCCCGGTGTCCTGTTTCCTTCATCCCTGTCCCCATGGACTCCATGCCTTCAAAACCCTATTCCACCAAAGTTGTGGGGTTTGGCCCTAAGGTTGTCCTACCCTGCACTGGCTATCCCTCCTGGGATTGCACAGGGCCAAGTGCTTTCAGAAAGGGTTGACAAGGTGCTAGGAGTATTGCTCAGTGGTAGAATGCTTGCTGAGGGGCATTTAAGAGCTCAAGAGTCTGTCTGTCTCTTCTCTCTGCCTGTCTCTCTCTGTCTCTCTGTCTGTCTCTCTCTCTCTGCCTCTCTGCCTCTCTCTCTCTCTCTCTCTCTCTCTCTCTCTCTCTCTCTCTCTCACACACACACACACAAACACACACACACACACACAAATACACTCACACACACCCTGGCCACACACAAGTTGCCAAGTTCCCCTTCCCAGAAACCAATCCTCTCCTCCCTTTCAAGGAAACAATTCTCTTTGGCTATAAAAGTTCCTAGTAAATGGAAATTGAACACCCAGCAGGTGCCATGGCCTGCCTTCATACCTACAAAAGAGAGTCCTGGGTTGTGAAGGTCTCCCCCTGGCCAGGCTTGACTTTAAATGAATGGATTTGTGCTTGTTCTGAATCCAAAGTAATCTGGTGTTCTGTGACTTGTTCACAGGGCTTGGCTGGGTTAATTGGCTGAAGCAGGGTACAGCACACATGCACTGTACCTATCCATCTATGTAAAGAGGTCTCTTTTGGTCTCTGAACCGCACTGCAGCTTCTCTTCTCTGTAGAGAGGCAGCAGCTGAGACAACACCACACACACACACACACACACACACACACACACACACACACACACACACACACACGGGCAGCGGGGTAGGGCAGCGTTTGGTAGCAGTTGCTGGTTTTTACTTAAGTGCTTCCGTTTGGCAGATAGAAAAACAGACAAGAGGAGAAAAATTTACCTCTCAGAGAGCTGGAATACAGGATCAGGGCAGGGCTTTCCACGAATCAAGTTCATGGTTCTCAGAAGGGCTTTTACTTCCAGAAGCATTACTTTAGCTGCATGCTCTCACTGCCCAAGCCAGGAACAAAAGTCAGATGGTTCCGGGAGAAGGCTGACGCCAAGGCAGCACTGCCACCTAGTGGCTGTTGGCAGCTTGCTCCAACTCTCCCCAACCATCTTCTTGGGGCAAGACACCCACCTGCACTAGCAGACTTACATGCCCAGCCTATGTCAATAGACATTTGAAACCAAAATTACGACAGTGGGGGCCCAGACTACGCATTTACCATGCCATTCTGCCCATTAGTGCTTGTCTAGCTCTATCTGAGATCACCTCATTGAAGAAGTTTTCATCCTTCAGGCATAGGGTAAGACCATCGGGACTTTTAACCTCGGTGCTCCACTTCCCAGATAGGTGATTTTCTACTGTGGGCATCACTCCCTTGAAAGTCACTAAGGAACTGGTGCCCATCATGCCCTTTGTCCTTGACTACAGCTTTAAATGGAACACACACAGTAACCGATCTGCCACCATTATGTCTCCATGGCTGAGTGTTCTCTCTCCCGATCATTTCCACTGGGCAATCTAGCCCTTTCCTTCGCTCCACAGCAAATGCCTGGTACAAGCGCCTGGCCCTTTCCCAGCTTTGCCTCATGAGAGTATGAAGCTACAGAGAAACTGATAGCTAGAAGGACAAGATGTTTCAGACCACACACACACACACACACACACACACACACACACACACACACACACACGATGTGGGGGGAAGGAGGGAGAGAAAGAGAGACTGCAGCATTTCTCTGTGTCTACTTTCTTTCACTTTTGGCATAATTTTGATTCATCTATGTTGTAACTTTCGTGAATAGTTTTTGAGGGGTACCCTACTAGCTCCTTTTTTTTTGTTTTTTGGTTTTTCGAGACAGGGTTTCTCTGTGTAGCTTTGGAGCCTATCCTGGCACTCACTCTGGAGACCAGGCTGGCCTCAAACTCACAGAGATCCGCCTGCCTCTGCCTCCCGAGTGCTGGGATTAAAGGCATGCGACACCAACGCCCAGTCCCATCAGCAGTTTTGACTAGTGCTGTATCAATTGAGCACAGTATCTGCTCCAGCATCTAAGGTTGCCACTCTGGGGCATGCACATAGAGTAGAAGAAATGGTGGCTCATAGAGAATTCTATTTAACCTCTTGAGAATGCTAGATGGTCACTCTTTTCTTTATGCTTTCTTTTCTTTCTTTTTCTTTATGCTTCATGATGCTCTGTTTCCAGGCTGTTTCTTTGGTAATATTTTAACATTTTTTTCTTTTCTCTCTCTCTCTCTCTCTCTCTCTCTCTCTGTGTGTGTGTGTGTATTGAGACAGGTTTCTCTGTGTAGCCCTGGCTGTCATGGAACTTACTCTGTAGACCACGCTGGTCTCAGAACTCAGAGATCCACCTGCCTCTGCCTCCTGAGTGCTGGGATTAAAGGCGTGTTCAGTTGTCTTCATGCCGGATTCCAGGACCCTGACCATGTGGGGTGGTCCAATCGGCACAAAATGATGTGAGGGGTTCAGGTGGGGAGGAGATGCAGATTCGAATTCCGGCCCAGCAACTCCAAAGGAAAGAAATTGGTGTCAAGAGGGAAACTGCCGTGTCCCTGACGTTAAGCTATTGACTCATGTGAACTGAAGTTTCCTGGGAAGGCCACACTTACATTGGGCTACAGACTGATTAAAATGGTCTGATTGTAGAGAGTTGAAATGTTACAGATCAAGAGCCAAAATTACCTTAGGCTATCTTTAATATCTTTGCTGGCCACTCATCACCCCTCTCTCTGACCTGACATTCTTTTAACTAGCAAGTAAAACCTTTGGATTGTATTCTTAGCAAACAAAAAGCTAAAATGTCATCAGATACCAGTGAAACTTGTAAAACCTGCCTGTCTAATGTCCTCACCAATGTAGCTAGCGTATGCATTACTTAAAAAAAAATACATTATTTATGTGTGGGGGGGGGTGAGCACATATCACAGCATACATGTGGAGGTCAGAGGACAAGACTTAGGGAGTCAGTTCTTGCCTCTGTTCTGCTGCTGCACTGTCTACTCTACCCCAGGCTAGCTGGTCCAGGAGCTTCAGAGGATCCTCATCTCTGACTTCTGCCTCACCACAGAAATGCTGGAGTGACATCACATGCCACCACATCCAGCTCTTTAGGGCACTTGGACTCAAACTCAAGTGGAAAAGCTTGCTCGGCTAGAGGACTACTTGCTGAGCCACCTCCCCAGCTCCTGTGCTGATGTATAATTATCATTCTGTTCAATGATGTAAGTTCATGCAGCTACCTCAAAGGTAGAACTTGTCACTGACAGTAACTCAGATCCATTTAAATTGGTCTCACAGTACTCTCTGCAACAAGAGTGCAAGCTGGCGGTACTGGTGCCTAACACAGGGCTTGTTGAGATGCTCCACCAGGGACTTTTGCTGGGACACCACAGCCTCTGCATCACATTTGCAGACCCTTTGAGCTGATGACTACCCCCCATACTGCCATTCTGGTTTTGTGACAGTAACAAGAACCATTCCCAACTTTGGATTTGGCTGCTGTGTACAAGGCTTGGAAATATGTAGCTTTTCAGGCATGTCTTCAACTGGAGGCTGTACCTTCTAGGCTTAACTGTAGGGTTACCCTTCTAAAGCAGTCTGATGGCACCAGTCTTCTTGGTTCCTTGTTTCTTCTCCTTAGTGTCCAGCTTTTCAGTGCTTTTACCTGCGATTCTGTAAAATGGGACCATCTATGGGAATCTATAGGTATAAAGAGGGGCATTGTTAACAAAAATAAAAAGAGGTTAGTAAGAAAATGTTTTTGGATGAGAAAGGACTTTGGATGACAGTTTGTCCTACCAGTAAAGAGTGGTCCAAAGTGGAAGTATAAATGAGGAAGAATCAGACGTAAAGGTGTATGGCAAGAAGGCTTGTAAAGCGTGACACTTAAGAACCAAACACACATGATTAAGTTCATCACAATTACAGTTTGTCAACATTGCCTTAAACCAAAATGCAACACAATAGCATCAAACTGAAACTTGATTCTCTGTTATAAGAAGCCTTTAATGTTTCAAAGGCTAGCCTTTAGAACAAGTATTTTGTTTTAGCCCTTCACCAAAATGAGCTATTTGAATCTGATAGCCAGATTTTATCCGAATGCTTCCACCACCAAAATATAAACATCTTATGCTAATTTGTATGATTTGCCATTGGGGATAAGTCTCCCCTCATCAGAAGCCACGTGTTCCCACAGGTGGTAACCACAGACTCATGTGACAGACAAGTATTTAAAACTTGACCTTGCGCTCACTTTGTCAGCACATGTACTAAAACTGGAATGATACAGAGATTAGCATGGCCCCTGAGCAAGGATGACATGCAAATTCGTGAAGCATTCCATATTTATTTTTGGTTGTGAGCCTAGCCTTTAACGGCTGAGCCATCTCTCCAGCCTGCATTCCATATTTTAAAAAAACCAAACAAACCTTGACTTTGTGTCTACTGGTTTTAATAGTCTAGATTGATTGAAAAAACAAATGCCACTCTAAAACCAGCAGTTGGCAAAAGTGACTGAAGTTTCTGGCTTTCTTCATTCAAAACATTCTTCTAAATTTAAGATGCACACATTTTGAGAGAGCACCTAGCTCCTTGTAACTCCTGAGCATCCTAGGAGAATGGAGAAATGATGGTATAAGCACGTAAGGGGAGTTTGAAAATAACTAAACATTCAGAAGTGATTAGTCTTCCCAGTAAGCTTTGGGGAGATGATGAACTGGATGAATGAATGAAAGCTAAAGCCAGATGATTTCAATTATTGGGAAATGACATAGCAAGCTCCAGTTAGCCTTAGAGAAAAGCACACCTTCAGGTACTTCTTAACCACTTTCCACAATGCAGCTTTGGAGAATGAACTGTGGGCTAGCATTTCCCTCCTGAATGTATAGCATATCCGAGCAAGGACATATCCATGTAGACTCCATAAAAAGGGATGGTCCTCTTCACTCTCAATTGAGATTCCCCAAGAAATGGAACTCAGACCCTCCTTGCAGCATTCCTATTCACTGTCACTGTCACATATTTACATCCTATACTTAGAGCTCTTAAAGACTGTCTTGGTATAGTTGGAATTGGTCTTGATATAATTTTTAGTGTGTGTGTCTGTGTGTGTGCGCGTGCGCGCGCACGTGCAGCAAGGAGCACAGAGAATAACTTAAGGGTCACCTGTTTGCTTCTAACATGCAGGTCCCAGGATCAAACTCTGCCTTCAGAGTCAGTAGTGAGCACCTTCACCCACAACACCATCTCTCTGGCACTATGAATGTCCTTAAATGAAAGAATAAAATGCTGATCTTGATTATTTTAGTGAAGCTACAAGTGAGGATATTATATCCTCATTAATTAATTAATTAATGATTTCTGGCCTTAGAGCTTTTTACCTTTTTTTTTTTTCTAACTTTCTTCAGGCAAGATGAAACACATGTAACATATCTGTACATAATTAAACACACATCCTTGCATCATTAAACAAATGCAGCATAAATAACAGTAGCACAGCTATATTCAGTTAAACATGCTGCGGCATAAACATATGCAACACATCTTTGCCCAGTTAAAATAATATTCTCCAACATTCCCCCTTCTGTCTAAATGAAAAGAATTTTCACTTTAACATAGAAAAGCTATATACAACAAGAACAATTATCAAGTAAGGATTACATTCATAATATCCAGTCTATTTGTATTTGGCAAATTTAGAGGAAATACTCCATTATTTGTCCTATCTTGGTAAGTCCACAGTTTGGTACCTAATTAATGTTCTATCACTATCATAACTAAGGAAATGTATAACTATCTAGTCTTCAACTCCAGATAGATACAACATTATTTGAATAAATAGGAAACACAGTGCAAACCATTTCCAAAACTATAGAAACAGCAGGCATCTGGGTACCTGGACAGTCAAAGCTTCTCTACAGTAGTAAGGTATCTAATCTTTGGCCTACTGGCCTAGAATATCTGGCAAACTTTTCTATGAAGCAGGAATGTTGAAGCACTGTCCTGCCTTACCTTGGCAAAGTTCAGCAGTCTTTTTCCTTTGTGTCCTGCTTGTCCAGTTTGGACAGCATACTGTTAGCAGTGAAGGCAAGATCAGTTTCTTGCTGAAATGGTTAGTTTTGCCACAATGAAAGCAAACTCCATATGGAGGTTCTTTGATACCCATTATCTTCTCTGAAGTAAATTGGTGCTTCTGGGAACAGACGTGTCTCACTGTTATGAGAAGCCTTATTTTCTTAAACATCTTACATGCCATATTCTGTAGATCTTTGAAGTGTTTGAAGACCATCCACCTAAATATATTTGTTTAACTTTGAGAGCATACCTAATATGACTACAAGTTGGATTATAGATGACAAACTAAAAACCTGCATTGCTTAATTACACACATTTTAAAATGAGTTGCATAAACACAATACCCTAAACAAGAGTAGAAACATACATTCAGTATAACAAAAACAACTTTACATTTATATCAATATACCAAAATCCATACCAATCTAAAATATTTAAGGTTAATAGTTTTTTTTATCCTGTATTCTTATATCTCCCTTAACAATGACAAACATCCATAACCTAGCAAATGACCAAAAACTACCCATCCCACCTCCTGGGAATGTGGGCACTGTGCTCTCTAGACTGCTTCCTGTTGTCTGAGGACATTGGCATCTTTAGGGAAGCTAAGAAAATTGAGATAATGGTCAAGTCCTGGGGGTGTTAGCTGTTGTATAGTCTCAGTGTAATTCTTAGCTCTCACCTTTGGTGAAAACTGTTCACACAAGAGTGAACACTGTTGGCATCATAAACTGTGATGTTCCTGCCAGAGATGGCTAGTAAACCATCAGTCATTTCTTATATAGGACATTCTCTGACTCCCATTCTTCACATCTTTCCTCGCCGGGACAGTTACTTGATTTCTATAGAGTACCCTACTGTCAATAGCTCCAAAAACCTCAGTTAAGAGTGCTTACTACTGTTCATAGAGGACCAACTGCAGTTCCCAGTGCTGATATCAAGTGGCTCACAATTCCCAGTGGCTTCTGACTGCAAAGGGGAGTAGGGAGGAGAGGGATGGATGCCTTATTCTGGCCTCTGCCTTATTCTGGCCTCAAAAGGGCACTCAAAATAATGGAGCATACATACACACAGACACACATACATGAAGCAAAACAAAATGTTTAAAAAACAAAAGGTTACCTTCTGTGTACAAAGAAACAGGTATAGATACTTTCAGCAGCACGGACACCGAAAATAAACCATCTCCTCAAACTGAGAAACCTTTTAGTCAGTCAAAACCCAAGGTCTGGATGTCTCAAGTCATAAAGTAAAACCCCTAAGAAGCACAGGTATGAGCTCAATTTTATAGCTGAGGAAATATTGACTAGTCATGTCTAGTTCAGAGCTGAGATTTGAAGCCACAGAGCACCAGTGAGCATCAGTTTGTGCTAATAACTGGTGAACAGCAAGTCTGAGAGATGAAACCAAGTGATATCCTGAAACTGATGCACATGCTGTTAAACAAGAATGTTCACTCATCTCCATGAAATACTTACTACCTATTAGGTGAATAAAAGCCTCCCAACCCCAGTTTTTACATCTGCAAATGATTTTGACATCTATGAAAGATTAAATATGATGTAAAACAAACAAACAAAACAAAAAAACTGGGGCTTACTTTCTGGGACAGTTCATAAGTGAACAGGGAAGGAAGAAATCTTGGGTGAAGTACAGGAACTTCTGCTTATTTATCAAGGCTTTTATTTGAATGCCAATTTGAGTACCAAACAAGTGTTCATTTCAAATCAAACAGGATGACAACATCCTCAACTCTGCTTGCTTTGAGTTAGTACTAAGTCTCTACATACTAATATCAACAAAGCACCTAGATCAATGCATACTGATACTAAACTTACATTTCACTACTTCATGTTCACAGTAATTTGGCAGTACATTTTATAGCGTTATATACGATACATAGAACTGTGGGTGTTTCCTCCAAAACACTTTACCAAGGACAGGGACAGGGAACTAGGCAACTCTCTAAGTCAACAGTGTTCTTGCAGCATTAATAGCAACAGTGTGTTTTTCCTTTCTCCAACCTGATTTCTACTCCTTGATCAGAGTGCACAGGTGAGAAGGTGCACCCAGACAATGAACCTGAGAGGCAGAGCCCGGCCCCTCTTCAGCTTTCAGGACTGCGATCTGAGCTTCAGCGAAGTTTTAAGTCCAATGTACTCTGTTAACAGTGAAACTGGAAAAGAAACTATTAGACCCACCTCCACTAGGTGGCAGCAAAATTCTACTACCGGGTGTTTAGGCACAACGGGATCAGCACTTGCCTGGTCAACCCTACCTGGTAGCACAAAGAAAATCAGAAATCAGACATATGCAAATCACACAGCAAAACACTCATCACTGTGCTTAAAACCCAAGAGGTAATGATCAAAAGACCCAGTAAATCCCCATAGACTCCTTTGTATGATTTGATAAAAGCCTGGGCATGGATAAGACTTTCATTAAGGGTAGTAAAATGAAGGAATTCTTATCAATATTTTCACAACACACAGACTATATGACAACTGCTTGCAGGCAATAGTACTTTGCTAGGCAGGAGACCTAAATATTTTTCATTTCCCATTCTTCAAATTTATTAAGTTCTTAAATAAATCAAACCTTTTTAAAAAGAAGTGTTAGTCTCTCAACACAGCACTAGGAAAGAAAACCAACCAACAGATAACATCTAAACTAAATGTTATTCTACTTTCCCATATATACTGCAAGTTTTTAACAAATTTACTTATTTTAGACACAAAGTTTCACTACTAGCCCAGGCTGGCCGAGAACTCATCATGTAGCCCAGGCTGTCCCCAAACTCACCATGTAGCTAAGGCGGACCTCAAATGTGGAGTAGTTGTAGGGAGACACCCTAGCCCCGCCCAATAGTCATAGGACAGGTTCCAGGTGGACACGGGACTTGCCCATAAGGGCGTGGTGAAGGAAAGCTGGTGTGACGTAAGGGAGCTTCTTAAGGGCTGCACCGGAAGACCCTAGCCTCTTTCTGGCCCCGCTTGCTGGGTTCCTGAACCTCGCTCTGGCCTGCGCTTTGCCCTGGTGTTTTCTTGAATAAAGAGACTTTACCATCCCGGATCACAGTTCATCTTTTGGCGCACGCCCCAACCTTTATTCATCAAGTAGTTATCCCACCACTGCTTCCTCAAGACCAAGAATATGGGTCTGCATCACCATGGCCAGATATCACTATGTATTTTCAAAAAGCTACACATAGCATGACATGTTTTCCAAAAGCAGATGGCATTTTAGTATTAAAGAACACATAAGGTAATTTCAAATTATTGAAGTATGTTTCTTAAGGGGAAAGGACTATTGGGTTTTCCTAAAAGGTGTTTGAATGCCTTGGCAGTAGTTTTAAAGTAGCCAAATGGGGGCGAAGTTTTATATGATTCTTTAATATGGCTAGTATTTCTAGTTGATGTTTTAAAATCCAGAACTAAGTATTTCTGAAAAGCAGTAAGCATCTTTCAAGCCTTCTGACTTAAGTCTTTTAGGCTCCTAATGAAACAAAAAACCACTAGCTAATTAGAATGATCATTTATTTTGGCTTTGGTCAATAATTTAAAAAGCTTAAACACAGTTAAGTATTTTGACTTCAGAAAAAAAAAATTGCAATACACTCTTTTTAAAAGGGGGATAGGGGGAGAAAAAGACCCAGCAGTTTTAGGAAGTATCCAGAGTATACATGATCCAAATATGAGGGAGAAAACCTTTTTAGAAGTAACTAACGAGCATTAGATAACAGCTCAGGGTGCTGGCACTCTGAGCACTGGTACATGCACAAGCTTACCAAGATAGTCATTCAGGAGACCTTCAGAGGGAATTCAAGTTTCTTCCCAACTTGTCAGTCTACTATAGAATATGCAAGACACTGCACTTTGTTACATCACAACATTGTTTATTATGTGAATTTTTTTTACAATACAAACAAAAAAATACAGGTATGCAATATATGGATACAGCTAAATGCAGAATGGTGACTTTTTTTCTCTTCAAGAGGCCATGATTCCCATTTCTAGTAAAATAAAAGACTGAGTATAGGTAGAAACAGGTTGGTCGTTAGCTTCACAATTTGCCTAGAAATGTTCTACAAACGCATTTCTCTTCCTGCTACTTACCAGAAAGTGTAAAAAGGGAGTTAAAAGAAAGTTTCCTTGTTGGTTCCTACCATATGAAAGATGCTATATTCTATTTTAGCAGGGCCAATATATGGAAAATATCTAAATTAAATGTTATTACAAAAATGAAGCAGTAATGAGATTCTGGCTAAAGGGGCACTAAATGAGAATAATATATATATATATATTTAAAGAATCCAAAACAAACAAACAACGAAAAAAAGGTTGTTATAAAAAGCTCTAGGTGCACTGTAAGCATATAGGTTTTTTTCCATGTGTACTTTTAAACAATGGAAGTGTCAAAAATAGGGTCCACTGTGTTAGACTAAATACATTATTGTATAGGCTGCATTGAATGGAACCTCTGTATTATAATTATCATAGAGAAGCATAGTTTGCATCATATTATGGCAATTTATCCTCAATGAAAACCTTCCAGAGTCCTTTTATTTTAGAATATTCTGTAAACAATCAACCCACCAGAACATGATTGTACAACAGTAAAATGTTTTCTTGCATTAAACTGAAGACATCTTTTTAATTTAAAAAAAAAAGAAAATGTAGAAAGGTACTTAGAGCTGTTAATTTCTAAGTACACAATATCCTAGACAATTCAAGGCATCTTAATCTCCTTCGAGAACAACAACAAAAAAATAATTTTTGTCATGCTGTTAAATCCATCATTATGGATAAAATTGGTGCAAATTGGTCAAACGGATCCAACAAACACTGATGTCCAAGCTGGCATATTGGCAACTAATACATAACTGGTGGTCAATAGAGTTTAAAAGATCTTGCCTTTCTTCTTGTTCTTTTCCAAGGTTCTAAATGATTAAAAGAAAAAGAAAAAAAAAAATGAAGATGAGCACTATAGAAGTCAAAAGCAAAAAATGGCAGAAACAGCTAACCCAAATACAACTATGTTGGAATTTCAAACAATACATTTTCATTGAAAACAAAACAAAACAATCTAAAATATTTAGAAGTAAACAGTAAACCAATGTTTGCCCATAAAAGTATTTTCTTAGACTATCAAATGCTTGACAAAAATTCTAAAATAAGCAGTAAAATAGAATTAAGGTCTGTTTTATTCATTTTAATTGACCAGAAATTTTTTCCTAAAATTAAATTGTAGAAAATTTAAAAGATAACTCTGGTTATATTCTTAAATATATCTGCTTTGACAAATGTATTTTCTTCTTTGGATAGAAAGCTCATAGGAAGATACTACAATAATGGCTAAGTGTGAAAGTGCCTTGCTAGGAGAGTGTATTACACACTCCTCAAAGGGTATCATACTTCAATTTCAAATGACTCTATTAGCAAAAGAAAACTAATGTATAAACATTATTGAATTTTATACATATTAAGAGGAAATGGTTAGCTGTATTATAAATTAGATATCTCATATTTACCTTAAAGAATTTATTCTAAAGATATAATTGAAGCATCTCCTAAGGACTGGGAAGCAGAGGTCCTGCCTAGTATGTGTAAGGCCTCAGGTTCAATCCCAACACCCCGAGACAATATCTAACACCTGAGTTGAAGAGGTAAGAAATCAATTATGATATGCTAACTGTGGAGACTGTTAATGAAGCTGTTCAATCATAATTATAAAATATAAGCATGGAAATCATCTAGACTGAAGAAAATACTATTACAGTATATCAAATGAACCTATTCATATAAAAACATTTATCCATGAAAACAGCTGTGCTTGGGAACTGTGATGGTTATAATGAAAATGCCCTCAGAGGCTCACATTTTTATTTGAATACTTGGCACCCAGTTGGTGGAACTACTTGGGAAGGATTAGGAAATGTGTGTGGCCTTGTAAAAAGAGGTGTGTCACTGGGAGCAGGCTTTGAGGTTTCCAAAGCCTATGTCATTCCCAGTTAGCTCTATCTCCTGCTTGTGGATCACAATGTAAACTCTCAACTACTGCTCCAGCGCCATGCCTGCCTGCCACCATCCATGCCAACCTTTTTCTTTTAGAAGTTGGTCATTATGTTTTATTTCAGTAACAGAAAAGTAACTAAGACAGAGATATATAATAAACTATGTGTTTTTAAGTTTTAAAAATAAATAGGAAAAAAGTTCTTTAAAATATCAATACGTCTATTTCTTGGGCATCCTGATATTAGTTACCTTGAAGAGTTCTGTTGCTCTAAAATGCGTTGTTGAGCTTCCCAGTTTGCTTTCTCTTCTTCAAACTGGCGACGTTTTTCCTCTAATTCTTTGTGTTGTGCTTCTAAATTCTTTTTCATTTGCTCATGGCGCCGCTGGAGCTAAATCAGAATCACAGATAAAACAACTGATTAAAAAATTTAGGACATCACTTCTCTGCCTTTTGGCTAAGATCAAATGTAGAAATTTAAGACTAATACTCTAGTATGAAGACTGTACACCTGTGTCACAATGGCAGAGGATCCCTCCTATTGTAGAATCTGCCACCCAAGCCAGTGACTCCAGAGAGTTACCTCAGAAAACAGGAACTACTTTTTTAAATAAATGCAACAAATTTATATTTGCATATAATAGATAACCATTATCATTTTTCTTAACTAACAAATACAATGGAGGTTGAACAGGAAAATCATTCCTGCTACTTTACAGACAAAAGTGGACTACATACCAGAGGGCGGACAATATAAAAGACTTAATCCCTAGTCTCCTAATTCTAGGTTCAGATATCTAAACCAGAAACTAGAGGAAATAGTTGACCTGTTAAATCCCAAATCTCCTACTTTCAGGTTCAGATATCTAAACCAGCAGCTAGTTAGTGAAGGACCTGTAAGTCAAAATGGATACTGGTGGTAGATAATGTTCCTTAGTTCCTGTAAAGGAGAGGTTCCCAAATGTTATTCTTCCTCTAAATTTTATCTGGGTGTTGCTAGAAATACAGAATCCTAAAGCTTAATCTAGATGCTGGGGTTTAGAACCTTCAGATGTCCCATGCAGAGATCTGGATTTTCAACAAGCAGGTCCCAATGATTCTAACACTCGTGTAAGGCTAAGAACTAATGCTAAAAGAACTACTGTCTGACTAGTGTTGACTACATAAGTAAAAAGCTTACATCTAATGGATCATCAGAAAAATAACCTCACTGCACCACTAACCAATCTGTTTCTGCAGAAAACAATTACAAAGAAAAAACAAAGCAGATTACATCACAATACATCAGTTGCTCAATGCCTGCTGAGATTATTCAGTTGCCCAGGAATTATATGCACTAAAGATTTATTGGTAAATTAATACATTAGGTTTGAATTTTAATGTAATTTTGCATATAATCTGTTTTATTTTTGTAAACCCACAAAGCTCAACTTCTTATTTATTACTACTGCAAAGATTTCATCTAATTCCTATAAAAGGAATCACATTTATTCCAAGATGTGTCAAATCTGAGGTAAAACGTTCTTCTTAACAGCAATTTACTAAGAAATGGAACACAAGAGAACGTAAATTTTGTACCAAAGACTTGGTAAAAATTAATACAAAGCAATCACATACACACAATTCAGAATAGCAATTTCCTCTGGGAAAGATAGATCCCATATAAAGGAGAGGACACATTGCACTGAAATTAATTCATAGAATTGTATTTTTAAGCTGGTAAGTAGGCTCTCAGCTATTTACTCTTTCAAATAATACTTATAATTAGTTTACGAGTGAATAACTTCCTAAGTAAAATCTTAAGTCACAATCATTTATTTCCAAGAAATCAGATGTATTAAGAAGTAGAAAATGTTTAAGTATTAAAAAAGCAACAGGTCTCAAAGATAAATGCTCAGTTGGTAAAGGTGGCGGTCCACAAGTCCTGATCACCTGAGATTAATACCTAGACTCCACATGGCAGCAGGAGAGAACTGGCTCCCACAAGTTGTCTAACCTCCATACCCATGCCATGTACATTTACCCATGTACATTTACCCATATACAAATAATAACTAAATCTCATAAAAGGATATAAATTATGCTTAAAATACACCTCCTGAAGTTATATAGATCAGCAACCAATAATGAAAACATCTACACATATATTATCTTTATGCTGCCTTCTGCAGCTGTAGTATTACTAATATATTTTATCCTTCCTACCATGTGTAAGTGAGGATGGGCAGAAATACCTATGTTACATGTCCATAGCATTGACTACATGACAAAATACATCAGGAATTTGGTATATGATATACTATGCTGCTAGGTATTAGCAGTTATGTCTCAAGTATTTGCAACAGAATAGATTCAAGAATAAATTATATTAAGCAAGGCTAAAAAGGCTTCTATAATTTATTTGCATATACCAAATATATTCACATATGTAAATATAAAGCTTTGCAAATTTTATCTCAGGGATATTGGTAAGCATACTGGAGTGGGGTTCTATGAAATAAGAAGAACAGACACCCTTAACAGACAGGCATTTGGATAAAGGAAACTTAGCCCAGCTTTCTTCACAAGTCGCTCCCACAGAAGGGAACTATTATTTGCATTTACTGGCAGGTGACATAAAATACTACCTTTATTCCTCTATTATATTAGTACATTAAATTATTTTTGAAAATATATAGATATAATTTACATTTCAATAAACATACTAATTAAAAGAAATGCTGCCAGGCTTGTTAATTAAACTGATTACCTCTGCTTCAGAGTCCTTCAGTTTTTGAACTTTTTCTTTGACCTTCATCTCAAACACCTGTTCCATCTCCATCTCCATCTTCTTCATCTTGGCTACATGTTCCCTTCTTTCTTCTTCCATCTGTGCCAGAGGACTCCTGCCACCAATATTTAAGAAAAACCATTAAGGCCTATAAATAAAAATTACAACACTAAATTCTGAAAGAGCTGATTAAAAACAATGAGATGAACTGTGATATGGAAGTATAAGTAAAATAAACCTGTTCCTCCTGCCCAAGGTGTTTTTGGCCATGGTGTTTTATCACAGCAATAGTAACCCCGACTAAGACAATGATATATTTCTAAGAAACTGTACAAAGGAAAACCAAAAAGAAACAATCCCAAAGTACATTCAAAGAAAACTACAGAAAGTCATGTGATTTGTTTTCCTTAATTTTTTTTTCATTGTGAGGAAAATAAAAATTTAGCTAATAAAGTCAGTATATACAGAACATTTTTAGTTTTATTAAAATTTCAAGTATTATAGTCTCCTTTAAAATAACTACTGATGTTACAACTATATTTATTATAATTTATTTAGGTAACTCAAGTAAAATGCTGAGGATAACAACCATCCAATGCCTGAAACACCATATAGGTTGTGCAGACTATTTCTAGACTCTTTATAACTTTAATGCTAATGAAGATCCAGTCACTTAAATATTTTAATGGCTTAAAGTATCAAGAATGTTCAGTGAGTTAAAATTAAGAGTAGACACTAAAGAGCTAAGTAAAAACGAAAACAAACAAACAAACAAAAACTAGTTCGCTCTATGAGCATTGAAGTTCATGAATTCAAATCTCTTTGCTGCAAAAATGTAAATTTTTCATGTTGATACAGCCTACTGTTCTTGCTCTTGGTTGCCCTCCAGAGGTGGAAGCTTAGTTTTTACTGTTGAAGACACAACTCACTTAAGACACAGGGGTCAGAGGCTCCTGAGCTAGAACTGACATGAATGCCTCCTCCCTAAGGATAGGCTTTCATGGTACCAGGTGCTTTGCAAGCTTTCAAAGAAGGAAGGCAACCAACAGTTCTACCCAAGTGTCCATGAATCAAACAATGACCAGCATATCATGATAAGCCTAAGAGTGCAGTAGTAGTACTGCCTTGCAGTAGTATGCATGCCTTGATGGTAATCTACAACTTTCTAAATGAACTTAAGACCTGTTCAACAAGAGGGAAACCAAGCCTGGTGCTGGAAACCTATCCAATAACCCAGGGAAAAACCTATCAAGCAACAACCCAGTGAAGTCACAAACCTTGCAGGAGAACCACTTTACTGTGCTGTTTTATTGTGCTGTTTTAGTAAAGTGGTTCTTCTGCAAGGTAACAGCACAATTCTTAACTATATTCTAAGTATTTGTCCTTATACCCACAGGTATGTGTAATCCTCACCCATCATCAAGGAAACGTCTCTTTGGAACTGACAGAAACCATCAGAGAAAAACACAACTAATCAAAACGCAGAGTTGTAGAGGCAAATCCCAATGGATTTATCTATGAAGCACTCCCGTTCCAAAGGAATCAGGAAACATTGTGCAAAGGGTCGAGGGACAGATTTTAAGAGCCAGAGGATCAGTTTATTTGTGAGACAGTGTCTTTTAGTAATATCAGAACTATATGCATAGTCTCACCAACATGACTGCTTAAATATGTGAACAAGGACAGGTATGCCAAAGTGATGGGGGAAAGCCCACAAGGCCTGCACCCTACACAAAGAACTACAGGCAACTAAAGAATGCTGAGAGGAGAATGGGAGAAATAATCTTCTCCAGGGAAGAGCATATCAACTGATTATCCAATACCAATGGTCAACTCTGCAAACATATACAGGGGTAACATTATACAGACTGAGCAGGATATATTTAGGAATACATGTATATACCTACACGCATGTGCTGTGGAACATTATTTTAACTAGGCAAAGATGTGATGTGTTTGTTTATACTGCAGCATATTACTTTAACTGTGTAAAGGTGTGCTACTTTGGTTTATGCTGCATTTGTTTAATGATGTAAGGATGTGTGTTTAAATCTAGGCAAAAGAAGAGAGAAGAAGGTATAAGAAGAAAGACAGGAGAACCAAGGATATGCCTGGGACCAGAAAACAGGAAGCCATTAGTCAGCCAGAGACACAAGAAAATAAGAAAAGGCAAAAACAAACAAACAAACAAACAAACAAACAACCCTGAGGCAAATCGTAGATAAAGAAAACCAGGTTAACAGAAGTGAAAAGAGCTAGCCAGAAATATGCCTAAGTTAGGCAGAGCATTCAAAACTAAAAATGAGTCCCTGTGTCATGATTTGGGAGCTGGTTGGTGGCCCAAAAGAAAAAGCCTGGTACATGCATGTAACAATGAAAAATGAGACCATGAATTGGAAAGAGACCAAGGATGCTGGTAAATGGAAGGGTCTAGAGCAGTGTTTCTCTGTCTTCCTAATGCTGTGACCCTTTAATACAGTTCCTCATATTGTAGTGACAGCCTACTATAAAATTATTTTTGTTAACTACTTCAAACTGGAATTTTGCCAGTATTATGAATTGTAACGTAAATATCTGAGTTTTCTGATGGTCTTAGGTGGTGATTTGGAAGTAGGATGATAATGCATGCTACCTGGGGAAGTCACAGAGAAAAGTCAATCAAATCCTCCGAACTACAATTATAAATCCGCCACATACTAAAAGGCACCCAAGGTACCCTTACCAGCTGAGTCATCTTGCCAGCCCAAGAACTTGCTTTTAACTTTCTCTTCAAAATACATATTTATCTGTTTTATTTTGAGCTGTATGAATTATAAAGATGACTGGCAAAAGACAAGAAAATGTACAGTTCTTTACTTAAAGAACAGAAAAATAATCATTCTAACAATTAAAGGTAAGATGTAAAACTACCAAAGCAAAACTTAACAACATAATATTCTGCTATTATAAGTAAATAATAACACCCAAATTTTCTAAAGAGTAACAAGAATTTCAAGATAGGAAATGAAATATTTACCATGTAAACATTTTTTTCTGGAGAAAAATATATACGTACTTAGTAAGTTGTCCTTTATTCTTGTTGTTATCCACTCCATTGTAAGTCACTGCTGCTAGTTTTCTGCTTCTGTAGTTCTCATAGTGTACGTTATTAGTAACATCTTTCAAATCCTGCATGTGTGTTCTGTCACAAACAGCAAGAATTTGCTTGTTAAAGGCTCTGATACAATTGAAGATTTCACCAAGACAAAATTTCGGACAAAAATATTAAGACGACATTCACATGTCTTCATTTACAGAAAAAGCAGATCTAAACAAACAGGTATTCGTTCTAAATGAGCTTTCAAGAGTCATGAATCACTCAAACTACTGAAGAATAGTTTCTACCAAAGAAATAGTCATTTCCAACAGTTTAACTTTAATTGAGAAGGGAAAGTGGATTACTACTGAAGTTCATAATCTAGCAGAAATTGTTTTCCTTTTCCTTTATACAATTACTAACAAAGTATACTGAGTTTTCACAGGTTAATTTACATAAGGACTTTTAAAATAATAGATCAAGTTGTTTTCCAACTAGGGAATCTTTTGTTTTTTCTTTCCAAAACAGGGTTTCTGTGTAGCCCTGGCTGTCCTGCAAGTCACTCTGTAGACCAGGCTGGTCTTGAACTTAGAGATCTGCCTGCCTCAGCCTCTCGAGTGCTGGGATTAAAGGCCACCACTGATAGGATCCAACTAGGGAATCTTAATTTAAAGTAACTTTCTGTTTATCAAAGCTGTCCAGTCAATGTGCTCATTTTGGTAACTTTTCTATTACATATAAAATCAAGACACAAGGGATAAAGTATACAATCTAAAGGATATGACCCAATTCTTCAATGATTAGAGATGATAAAGACTGAATAATAATCCTCCCTTTTCTCATTCCCCATTATACTTTGAACTTCCTGTATACACCATCTTTACCATGACTTCCTTTGGGAGACAAAAAAAAAGTGTCTTGTCCTCACTTACATCCAAATCCCATCCTTTATGAAGTACCTTACACCACATCATGAACACAAAGTAACTTAATTATCTGGTTTATCTTCTACTATCTGACATTTCTATGCAGTTCTCTAAAAGTTTACTTGTTTTAGTACTAAGTTTGGGCTTTCCAGTCTCCTCTCCTTTTAAACCCCATTTACCAATGTGCTCATTTTCACTTCTAGCCTCAACAGTTATACCTAAGCTTCTACTGCTTCTACTTTAGTCAAGTTAGGCAGTTCCCATTGCTAGAACACCTGGCAGGTGAAATGTAACAGCTTATGTTAATTTGTTAAATTTTCTGACAAGGAATTGGCATTAAGTCATACGTGATAACAATTATGTCTTTTAACTATACTGGGAGCTTGTCCTTAACATAAGCATGTATTTCTTTTGTACTTAATATAAATACCAGATAACAGGAGCCTTTAACAATGTAATAACTACATACAGAAGATTACATAAATACTATTTAAGAATGTATCACTGTGTGAGTTTCTCAGGATGGAGAAATTAAACCTGTATTATACATGCAATTCAAACATTTGGGAAACGGAGACAGCATGATCAGATCAGCAGGCTAGCCTTAGCTACACAAAAAGTTCAAGGCCAGGCTGTGCTGCATGAGACAACACCTAAAACTACACTAAAATTAAAAACAAAAGAAAAAAATCCAGTATTTTCTGTAATTAAATATTCATCTAATCACTATACCATTAAGAAACATTATAGTAAATTTATAAATAAAAATAAGATAATGTTGAACTCCTTGTATTAGTGTCATTTAGTATAGTGATTATCTACTGCTCTGCATCTGTCTTATTCTGACATTCAAAGGCTGGATATAAAACTGCATTTACTTCTATTCATATTTTATTTCTTTTTTAACCCACTCCTCCATCTGGAAAAATCAGCAGTTTTCTAGTTTCAGAATTTGTGTTTCTAAGTTTCCATTGAATTTACCTCTTAGAAGCAAGTATAATTCCTAACTTTAGTCTGTAAGATAATTATTTGAAATTTAGACTGACATTTCCTTCCTTCAAATATTTATTAAATAACCAGTAGGTGCCTTCATCTTAAAGATGGTATCTATATGAAACACTCATCCTTCTTAGAGCAAGTAATAGTAGAAATTTTATTTTTATTTTATGCATATGGGTGTTTTGTCTACATTTATGTCTGTATCAATTGTGTGTCCATTATCCATGGCAACCAGAACAGTGTTCTGGGCTCCCTGGAATTGGACTCATAGAGCTGTGAGCCTCACAGGTCCTTAGGAAGATCATCTGAGCCATATCTCAAGTTGATACTAGAATTTATATTTTCACACATGCATGAGATGTCTTGCTAATGTGTTTATTAAATCCTCCTGAAAGCTGGTCAGTTTCCTCTGCAATACTTATACTAGGGAGTCCTCCTTACCAGAGGACTACAGACTACATTCAAAGTAGCTTCTGGGCCCCTTCTACAGTGTTTTTGATATGTAGGTAATAACTGATTATATATTTTAAAATACACTAGAAAAAGTGATGTAATACAACAGTGCCAAGCATAATAGATTTAAAATACAGATGGAACACAATGATGTAGTTAAACAATCTTTACATGCTGTCATGAGACATTGTGTTTGTTTGTTTTGAGACAGGATCTCAGAATGTAGCGTTAGGTGGTTTGGAATTCATAATGTAGACTAGGCTGCCCTCCAACTTACAGGTGTCCACCTGTCCCTGTCTACCTAACACTGAGATAAAAGGTAATGAACGCACCACCATGCTGTACTGAGATACTGTACTCTTTTGAAGTTGTTCTCTAAGACTCAAAATTAAAGAGAACAATTGGTAATAGAAGCTAAAGCATGTATTCTCAAACTGCTGTGAAAGCATCCCTTCACATTCCCTTGATATGCTCTTACAATGTTTACAATGTAAGGCTAGTAAACACATTTACTATCTCTGCTCTATCATCTACTTCCTGCCAGAAAAACCTGGTCATCTGTTCCCTTGGAAAAGTTTGAATTTTGTAAATCATCCCCCTTCACTATGATAATGATCTTGCTATTCCATGATTTTCAACTATCATTCATATATGTTTTACAATTTCCACAATGCAAATAAGGTTCCTGTGTACTGAGGTAGTGTGAAACATCCCAAACCAAGGCTTGAAGACAGTACAAAGCAAGGGCTTGGGGAAAACAAGATTAAAAAAAAAGTAAAATGGGGACAGAAGGAAAAGAAAAGATGTAATGCAGATAGATTAACATGAAAATGCTCCAGTTCATTTTGATCGCCTCTCTGTTCCTATTTTCTCTAGCTCCACTATAGTTTTTCACGATTTCCTCTCTGTTGCTACTATTCTAATTCAAGTCCTTGAGTTTCTCTAATCAAAATATTCTCAATGTCCTACTCTCATGATTTTCTTATCCTTCAGTATCAGGAAATATAGTTTAAAGAATTAGTATAAAGTTCAAGTACTTTAAAATGCTCCATTTACCAGCTACTAACCTGTGTACCTTTATCACTCAACAGTACTGCTTTTGACTAGAGCCTTTTCTAACCTACTTCCCCAGTCTATTACTGAATTAAACCTCAACATGAAGTGCAATGACAGAAAGTATGAAACTATAGTCAAGATCAGACAGAGAGGTTCCAGCAACGGATGGAAATGGATGCAGAGACCCAGTCTCCATTGGCACCATCCCTTTGGGGCTCAGGGAAACGCCACAGAAAAGAGGGTGAGGAACTATGGGAACCAGAGGGATTGAGGACACCGGGAGAGCCCAGCCCAGCCCATTGAAACAAATAAGCAGGACTCATGGGAGCTCAGAGACTGAAGTGGCCATTACAGAGCCTGTATGGGTCTGAGATAGATCTTCTGTATATATGTTATGGATGTTGGCTTGGTGTTTTGGGGGGACTTCTGACAGTGGGAGTGGGGCTGTCTTTGACTATTTTGCCTTTTCCTTCTACCGGGTTGCCTTGCCCAGCCTTAATGTGAATTTCTGGAACTGGTATTACTGTATCTTGTTGTGCCATGTTCAGTTGATGTTTCTGGGAAGTCTGCTCTTTTCTGGGAGAAGAGTGGGGTAGTGAAGGATTGGGAGAGAAGGGAGATGGGGGTGGGTGGGAAAGAGCTGGAAGGGATGGAAGAAGGGGAAGCTACAGTCAGTATGTATTATAAGGAGAATAAAAAAAAAGACATGATGAAAAAAATATGATTAAATTTCCTTTATAGTCCTCACCTTTTAACCTGTTTTATGTTTTTGCTAATGACTTCAAAACCTGGGATAAGCAATATAAATCATTGCTATACATTTTGCATACATACTTCAATAGAAGAGTGAAGATGCCACTTACAGAGGCACAAAGTCAGTCTTCCAAACTAACTTTCTTTAGGGTGCTAAAAAAACAATCCTTTGCTATTTTCACTGTTGCTTACACTTACCTTATCAACATATTTCTTAGAATTGTAAAATCACAATGTTCACCATTTTCAACTGCAGAAAAAAAAAACAGACCACACATATTAATTTTAATAAAGCTTATCTTTTCACAGGAATAAGGAACTCAAACCAATGAGAAAGTTTGTAAACTAAGGTTTAATACCAACACAGAATTCCAAGGAACAACAGGCAAATGTACCCTAATACTACCATTGTAGTATTTTAAAAAATTGCTTTCCTTTAACTTTTCTTTGTGTATGTGTGTGTATCTCATACGCATGTGGGTACATCTGCATTTATCTGTGAAAAAAGGTTGACATCAGCTGTTTTCTCCACTCTCAATTTTATTTACAGAGGCAGGATCTTTCAAAGAACATTTTATCCACCCTCCTCAGCCATAAACTTAATCCTAAATGATAGCCACATAATGAATGCACGCTCTGAAAATAAAGACAATTTTAAAGAAGGAGAGACACTTTCTCCTTATTAATACAGAATATATTTATAATATGACACATTAGAAAAACCTTAGCTGGGAGGTGGTGTACGCCTTAATTCCAGCACTCAGGAGGCAGAGGCAGGCAGACCTCTGTGAGCAGGAGGCCAGCCAGATATACAGAGCAACTTCCAGGACAGCAAATGACAAACAGAGAAACCCTGTCTCAAAAACAAAAAAACAAAACAACAACAACAAAAAAAAAACTTCATGTTGTGGTTGAGAGAGAATATGTTTAAAAAAAAAAAAAAGCCTCCTTAGGACAATCAAAATGAAAAGGCTAGTAAAGAGCTTTAAGATTTTTATTAAAAAAAAAAAACTAAATAGGAAGGGAGTGGGCAAATGATAATAATAACAACAACAATAATAACAAATAAAGCAATTGTTTCAGAGCATACTTCTAAAGGATATAACAGTTCTAAAGCCTTAAGTCAATAATTACAGGTCACCTGGGAACAAAGTTGAGGGTCTTTGGGCAAAATCACAGAAAAAGACATAACTTGGCATGATTTTATAAAAATTTTACAATTATTTAAAATATCAACACATAGATCAAAAGGCAACTCCAACTTAATACAATATAAATTAAACATTAGAGTAAACTAACATAATGAACACAAACTTACAGAAATATTTCTGTTGCTAATAGGATTTCTGGGGTTTGATATTATTACTAAGAGTTTACTGGCATTGAAAACCAATAGACTAGTAAAGTAATGGGAAAAGGTGACCTTCTTGAGAAAAGAAGGGGCACTGGTCATATGATTGTGACTGGCTCTCTGAACAGCTCCAAAGATTTATGAGATCCTAGGAAATAACCTTAGACCAAGGGAAAACCCCTGAACTACAAAGCATGTTTTCATACAGGACAGAAACTGGCTTCATGGTGGTGGAGGAAAGTGGAGCAATGACAACTGACTGTGAAGTGTTTCAACCTGAGGATTTAATCTGACTTAGGTAACACATCCGAAAAATGGAATTACCTTTATCAGGAAAACAAGAATTAGGAAAATGAAATATAAGCTATCCTTGAAAACCCAGAGTGCATCATACACTGCATATTTTATATTCCTTATAGTATACATTTTAGCATCTTTATGAAACCTTACAGTAAAATAACCACAGAAAATAACCTTACCTTCAGCCACACCCCAAGGATATTGCCTTCCTCTGACTCTTTTGCCATTAACTTCGATGATAGTATTACTACCTACCACAGCAAGTGGTAAACGATCCTATAAAATAAAGTGTTACTGTAAACAGATCTCTATAGTACTCACGGTTCAATTATAAATTATTTACAATATTCAACATATTAACAAAAATTACTTGGATAGTTCTTATAGTAACTCTAATCAGCCATGCAAAAAAATATTCAGGAAATTGGTTTTTTGGTTTTTGGGTTTTTTTGTTTTTGGTTGGTCAAGAAAGAGTTTGTGTAGCATTGGCTGTCCTGGAACTCACATTGTAGTCCAGGCTTGGCCTCCAACTAGGCTCCGTCTACCTCAGTATCTCAAGTACTGGGATTAAAGGCGTGCACCACCTTGCCCAGCTTACAAATTGCTATTCAAATGATATTACCACCAAGGTACATGATGAATAAAATTGCATTTTTGTTGAAATTTTAATAATAATGAGGTATGTGTTAGTCAAATTAGCTGTTAAAAATGACTCTAAAAACTGTCCCATATGGGAGACATAGAATAAAAAATACATTGGTATTTGGAAGAAACACAAATAGAGATAAGGTCATGAATCTACCTGATGATTAACCTTACCAACATGAAGTACAGGAAATACTCAATTTTCTAAAATGTAACTTCAGAATCTCAAACCCACTTTTGGATCTGTATTCACTCATTTTTAATACAGAGTATAACTTTTCAATATTTTCATAGCTACCAGAAATATAGAAGCTGTTTTGTAAAACCTCTAAAAACGCTTCATTTGTCAGACATAAATATTCTAAATATCATGTAGTAATTAATTATGCATATACATAAGACCAGTATTCACTAAACCACGTTAGTTACAGGTACTCAAAAACAATTTTAAATTAAACCACATAAATTTAAAAGCGAGACATGGTGGCAAACACCTTTAATCTCAGCACCTAGGAGACAGAGGCAGGTGAATCTCTATGAATTCAAAATCACCCTGGTCTACAAATCTCGTTCCAGGACAGCCAGGGCCACAAAGAGAAACCCTTGGGGTGGGGGTAATGGGGTAGGGTGGCACTTGGGAGATAAGATACAACATGGGACAATGATACAACAATTAAAACTGAAAATGATGCAGAATATTTGTTGACTTTTATAAAAAGACACATGAAACAACAGTTTTATCAGGTTCATAAAAGATAAGCAAACAAAAATGAATCCCCTTCCTGCTCATATGTGTTTCTTAAAGAGCAAAAAAAGTATATAAACTTGAAACCAGTTAATAGAAAACCATTCATGATGATATTCACTCACCCACTCTTTGTAAATGCCCTGTACCATGTGTTACTAATCACAGGTAACTGTAAAGTTGATAAACATTAAGAAATATCCATACTTGTTTTTTCGAGCCAACTATTATAAAAGTGACACTTTTATTCTTTCATATTAGAGCACAATTAGAAGGGCCAAACACTTTACTGTGCATAGAAATGAACCTACCTTTATCTTCTTAACCAGCTTATTCTCTTCTTCGTCATCTGTTTCTGGAAATTCATATATTTTAATTTTATGTTCTTGGATTTCTTTCATTATCTAAAACAGAAGTAGTGAAAGGGCACCACATATAATTATGACATTAGCAGTGTTTTCCTAACAATTTCTTGGATTTTTATGAGACACCCCAGTTTCCGGTCCTTTGTTGTTCATATCTAAACACCAAAACCCTTTACTGGGGAACAGGGAGAGAAGGTAAAGGTGCTGGCCATGCAAGTCAAGGAGATTTATAAAGGTAAACATAAACAAAGAAAAGCAGAAAGAAACAAACCAACTCTAGAAAAATTGTCCTCTAACATCCACAGTGCATGTGCACCATCCTCCCTACACACATAGACACACACACACACACACACACACCACAGTAAAATAAAATTTAAAATATTTTTAAAATTCAGTTACTTCAGAAGTATCAATCCTATGATTTATAAAAATTTATAAAAATTTATAAAAATTTTTAAAATTTATAAAAATTTTAAAAATAAAAAAATTTATAAAAATAAAAGAATATTCTAAAATGGCATTTAACCAGTTGGCCTCTATTATAATAGCTTTTTGTCATTTGTTTAAAAAGAATAAGATTCTTTCACTTGATATAACTTACTATAAGAGCTGAAGCAACAGAGCTTAAAGTCACCTAAAAATAGTAGAAAAGGGTAAGTAAAAAACACAACATTAGCCCCAGCAGAAAGGTTTGCACTCTAATAGAAAAAGTTATGACATGAACAAGTATACATACATAAATCAAAGGCCATACAACCAAGTAAGGAGAAAACACAAATTATAAGTAAAGAACCTCAATACTTAATAATATCAGAAATTACCTAGTTCAAATTATCTTGTCCAAAAGGATTTCAAAATCACAAGAGAATACAGACATCCAAATAACTGTCACCCACTTACATTCACACTCCAAGAACAACCATCCCCTAGTTGTACTTTCACTACAGTGCTGTTCTCACAGCAATAGTCTCCAACAGCAATAAAGAAGCTATAAGCAAAATGAGTTATATGATTACTATATTAAACAGAAATAAGCAAGTCTTTCGTAGTGGTAGATACCTGTAATCCTAGTACTTAGGAAGCTGAGACCAGAGGACTGAGAGTTCCTTGCTAGCCTAGACTGAGGAGTGAGAGACTATCTCAAAAAAGAACAAGTTATCAAAGGTCATTAATAGGATCATGCCTTTAACACTGCAGGTATCAATAGAGACAAGACAAGTAGCTCAGGCGATCTAGCCTTTCAGAATGCCTCTGTTGTAGTTTACTCAAAAATATGCATCCAGAACAATTTCAAAGCTATTAGCTGAGATGGTCCAGCCTCACAGACTATCCATCCAAGACTTCAGATAAGCTCTATACTTTCTCATCAGAAACAAAACAAAAAATAATAAACTGGCTCTCCAAGGACTTTACTATTATCCAATTTTCTCACAGTCCCCTAAAGATGTCTTTGCCACCAGACAACAGGAAGTAATTTCAAGAATACGATGCCAATATTCCCAAGAGGTAGTAGTTTTTGGTTCTTCGGTGGGTTATGGATGTTTGTCATTGTTTAGGGGGGTTGGTTGCAAGTTGCTACTGAATCATGGTCAGGAAAAAACTAAGCAAGGGGAAGGTTACATTCAAGGATGTCTTTCTGAAAAGAGAGGGGACCTAAGAATGATAAAAGTGTAGATTATTAAATCTACTTTTAAACTAAAAAGCAACTACTAGTCTCAAATATTTACATGGTATGGATTTTTGTATACTGATACGAAGTTACAGTTAATTTGGGGTGTGTGTGTGTGTGTGTGTGTGTGTGTGTGTGTGTGTGTGGTGTTTCTACTCTTGTTAATGTAAAGTTCTAGTTCTTGAAAGCTATTATTACAATCAAACTTGCAGTCATGTTAGGTATGTTTTCAAGGTGAAACAGATATTTTAGATAGATAGTCTTAGATAGTCTTCAAATACTCACACAATATGAACTTAAAATGTTTTAATAACATACACCTTTTCATGACACTGAGATATGTCTGCTACTGGCAGCACTAATCTACTTCAGAGAAGATGATAGGCATCAAAGAACCTCCATATGGAGTTTGCTTTCATTTGTTGCAAAGTTAGCCACTGGGAAAGAAAATGCCCTTGCCTCAACTGCTGTCCAAACTGGACAAGCAGGACACAAAGGAAGTCGACTGCCAAACTTTGCCAAGACAGGGTGGGTTAGTCCTTCAAAATTCCTGCTTGACAGAAGTCTATCAGATATTCTAGGCCTATAGGCCAAAAATGGATGTTTTAATGTTGCAGAGGAACCTAGGGTGACTGCCCAGGCAGCCAGCTATCTCTGTCATTTCCATAGTTTGTGAAAATTGCTTGCTCTGCAATTCCTATTTACTCAAGTAATAGTTTATCCTTCTCAGGTTTTGAGTGGGGATGACAACTAAGATAGTTATAAAAGTTTTACTGTTTTATTTGTTACTAAATTCAAAAAAGAATCTCACAAAAAAAAAAAAGACGTAAAGTTTATACGGTTGAGAAACGTAAAAGTTTAAGTTGTTTAAGAAAATGTTTTTTTAATGTCTAAAAAGATATTTTCAGGTTGGCAATACAAATTATGATAAAAAGTGATTTAGGAGCAAAACTCTGGATTCATCAAGATAGGATAAACAGAGTACTTTCTCCAAAGTTTCCAAACACAAATGGACTGGGCATTGTGAATGTAATTCTTATCTGGTAACATCTGCTAATATCCTAACTGTATATAGTTTTACTGTGTTAGAGTTAAAACTTTTCCTTTTTATTTAGACAAAAACGGGGGAAATGTTTCAGGACATTTGATCATACTGTGGGAAGATGACTGTTTTATCACACCTGCCTACGGCACCTTCTGAAAGGAGCTGAATGGCCATTAGGTAGTAGGCAGAAGAGGATGGGTAGGACTTCTAAGGAGAGAGAATCAAAGAGGCAGTGACACATGGAGGAAGTCAGACATGCTCTACTGAGAAGAAACACCAAGCCAGAATGTAGATTAATATAAATGGGTTAATTTAAATTATAAGAGCTAGTTGGGAAGAAGCCTAAGCTAAGGCCAAATTTTCAGGCTTAATATGAAGTCTCTGTGTCATTATTTGGGAGCAAGTGGCAACAAAGAAAGTCCGACTACAAACAGTTGCTAGCTTTAACATCAGTGATCCTTGGTCAGAAGTTACACACTAAAATTATGTAAGTGAGCATTTTCAAAATAAATGCTAAAGTCCCAACTTCCTCTTCAGAACTAATTAATAGGGACGATGTCCAACAATTAATTTGAAATAATTCCAAATGATTCCCTGAGTAAGAAACATGGCTCTAAGCAAAAGAAAAGAAACTTGAGGCAAAAAACACAATACAGAGGTAAAGTATATATATGCACCAATGCTAGGTGAAAGAAAAAAAGGAGGGAGTAGGGAGAGAACCAACAGGCATGTGACAATCTGAAAGTAGAAATCATTACTAATCCATCCTTTCACCTCTAACTTCCCAGAATAAATCCATATAGAGATACAGACTATTTAAGGCAGAAACTTAAGAGTCTAGTCTGGGTATAGAGACCTCATATCTTAAATAACAACAATGAAGAAATAAGAAGAAAAGGAGGAGAATGAGGAAAGAGGAAAGGATGGATGAAAAGGAAGAGGGGGGGCAAAGGAAGGGAGAGGGAAGAAAACCTAACTATGATGAAAATATTAGTAGTAAGAAGTATGTTTAAGATGCCAAAATTGGTATGAATTTAATACCACTTCAAGAACATTTTCCATTTTGTAACAAGTTTGAAGGTATTCTAAAATTCATATTTAAAAGGTTATTCTGTTACATAGAAGCATACAAAGATAAGAAAACAACAATGAGACTTATCTTGAATATAATACAAAATTGCTGTCATTTTTAAAATAAAAAATAGACTATTGGAATAGACAGACTTTCAGAAATTTAACTTAGATTTCATAAATGCCATATATAACAAGGCAAATACAACAAAATGAGAAAAATCTATTATTGAGAATATTTTTACAGCCTGGCATTGGTGGCACATGCTTTTAATGCCAGCACTTGGGAGGCAGAAGTAGGTGGATTTTTTTGAGTTTGAGATCAGCCTGATCTAGAACTCCAGAATAGCCAAGGCTACACAGAGAAACTCTGTCTGAAAAAAACAAAGAAGGAGGGGATTATTATTGCAATAACAGGGTGTGAGTTTGGGGGAGGACGCTTAAGTGAATGTATGTGTATATATACATATTAACATGTATCATCTTCTAAATATATTTATTTTATCAAGTACTACAAACAAAATTAAGATTCAAGAGAAAATAGAAAAAGCATATGTTTGTGAGGATAGCAAACTATAAGCTAGAAAATAGACTATATTGTACTAAAAATAATAACAGCTATTAATTAAAAGAATGGTTGGAAAACCCAAAAGTTAATTTATTCTTGCTTACCTGCTTTTTAAACTGTTGACATTCCTCTGGTGTGAGTGTGTCTGCTTTGGCAATTAGTGGGATGATATTCACTTTTTCATGCAAACGTTTCATAAATTCAATATCCAATGGTTTAAGTCTGAAATATATAATATTTAATATGACTGAATCCATCCATTTGAGGGAACAGATTCTTCACACCAAATATGACACACTACTTTATTTACTTATCAGAAACACCCTGAAGATGTACTGGGTCAGCCAACAGGTAGAAAAGGACTTTAAAAGCAACAGAGTGGGGTTAAGATGGCTTTCTGACTCCTGACTTGGAAACACCCTGATCATTGAGGAATTGGAAAAACCAGAAAGGCTCTTAGAATTTCCTAGAATTAGCTTTACATTTATTAAAGTTTACAAGGTGGGTGGGTTTTTATTTTCCCCATAAAAAATGGTAGTCCTCTTTCTGTATATGCAATTCTTGCTGTCAATTATCTTTCTCAAAATGCTAAAAAGTCTATCTTCAACCTGCCTCTCTGTCCATTATAATCTGGCTTTGGCACTATACTTTCAAGACCAAATACTTCCACTATGGCACTTATCATCACTAATCTGCCCAGAATGCAGCTTCTAAAATGTATTCCTTCACCAGCTTTCACTCTAGAGTCCTTAGGATTCTCTTTGAAAACTAGATCTTTAATATGTGATTTCCTCAGAATTCTCTCTGAGGTCACCTTCATTTTTTAACCCTACATTCTGTATAACTAACATCACTACAATCAATTGGGTCAAAAATTCCCAAATCTACACCCATTCAAAACTTCACTCTGATGTTCAAGACACTGTCCAATGCAGCAGTTATGCTCCTGGAATATGCCTAAGAATCAAGACCTCAATCTCAATCTCCATTTTTCTCTCCTCTTCTGTTTCCTATCAGTGCAGGACACCACAATGTACCTAAACAACCTCCCAAACACCTAGGATAGTCTGTTCTTCTATCCTTCATTTCCTAAGATTTTTCAAAACCTACATGAACAACACATATATCCTACCTAACACAGAAACACAGACCCATTTTCAACACTTCAGTTCAGACCACCAAGATCTCCACAGTAGACAACTACACAAGCCTTTCTGGTTTCCCAGAACACTATCCGCACAACTGCCCCCTCAATCTGACTGAATAATAAGGGCTACCCCACAGGAGGAAATGCATACCAAATGCTGGACATCTGGCCAAGAACCTGTTAATGGAGCTTGTTGACCTGGGGACTGACTTCATCACTTGTCTAACAATCTAGTAAAGTCATATTCTTTAGTTGCTGTGACTAAAATTGTAAAAACAAATATTCTCTCCTTAACCACCTTTCACTTCCAATGTGCCAGGTATTTCTAACTTCTCACAGTTCCACACTTGAAGAGGGCCAGAGGTTACAATCTCTGCCTGAACACTCTCAGTTTCATATTGCATCTATTTTGATCACCTCGTCTTTATTTATTGGACAGGGCTTACAGTCCCATTTCCCCTGGGAATCCTTTTCTAGATGAAAAGGAGGGGCCTCTTCTAAGGGGTCCCAGCACTTTATGTGTTGAATACTAAAACACTTGCCTGTGTTTGTTTTTTCCCATTTTAACACTAAAAGATGCTTTTAGTTGAGTGCTTTTATCTCATTCATGTGTTTTCAGCATCTAGCAAAGGTACTAAAGGTTCCAAAAGGAGCAAATGCTATCATTTTCTCGAGACCTTTAGAAAGAAAGCACAGTGGAGACTAAGTCTGCACACCTAGAATATTCCAGGGACTAAAATTAATGCTCCATAGCAATAAGTCAAAATATTGGAAATACCATCCCAAACTGTATAAGGAATAATGGGAAAAATGGAAAGAAAATTTTGTCTTATTTCTATTGACTGATACTCAATGAATAAGTAGTATTTTTTTAAAAATTATTAAAAACAGGAAGCATGAGGCCTGATGCAGTAAGTATTCTCTTATATGGTAACAAGGCCAACTAGCATACAATCAGAGAGAAACATGAGGTAAGGAAACTGATGCAGAGAATTTGGGTTTACTTCCTACATTGATTCTCTTTATCTTAAACTATGGTATTTTCTAGGATTCAAAGAACAAGAAGCACAAAAGAAAAAAGTGTAGCTGAAACAACCTCCATCATCTGTACTATCTGTAAACATATTTGCCTCTCCACTGCCAACAGAAACAATCCTTATGACAAAATTGAGTTTTGCTTCTTTTCATCATTACATACAACATTAAATATAAAGGCTGTGGTCTATGCAATCTTCAATAAGCAAATATTTATGGACCATTTTCAAGTTTATGCTCATGAAAAATGTAAATGCCCACCACTTCATTAAACAATTATATCACAGCTTTGTAAAGTATTACTCCTACTTAAACAGTGACAAAGGCAAAATTCCGTTTAAAATTGCACTGAATCTTAACAGCAAACACTATAAAACATCAACAAATTTTCAGTTTTCATACTTACACCAAGGATTTTATATTTAAAGGCAAAACATAAGTTCTGCTTTAAGTCTGTTATTTAAAACTATGTAGTTAGCTTATAGTATGACAACTTTTAAAACAAAAGATACTTATAATAGTTATGGCAGGGACTCAGAGGAGTCAGTGTCTTAAGTATAAACTAAGAGCTCCTGCAGCTGGGGTTGTGTGAGGAAGTAACTGCAGCGTGGGGATATGGGGCAAGTGAGACCTCACAGCAAATCCTAGGACAGACTACTACTTTATACAACTGAAATAAGATATAGTAATAAATAAAAGCAGGACTGAAGAACACTGAACCAGTTTAAAAATTCAATGTAGGGAAAAGGGTAAAAAACTTCAATAAAACTCTTCCATACTTTTAAAGTGAGTATACAATTATCAGATGTTTACAAATCAAGTTAGCATAAATATATATTAATTCAACATGTTGATTAAATGGTGGTTTAATTTTTCCTCTACCCATTTAGTTTTCTAAGTGTAAATAACAAATCCAAGGTTTGGAGGATGGCTGTTTTGCTTTTGAGATAGGGTCCTATACAGTCCAGGCTAGTCTTGAACTCACTGTATAGCCAATTCTAAAGTCATTTCTCTATCTCCCAAATGTTGGGATTGCATGCACCAAAATGTTCAGTTGAGCAAATTAGTTTTTAGACAATAGAAAGACCTTTATATATAATATTTAGAAGATACACCCACATTAAGGGAAAAGGTTATTTTACTTCAAAGCCTGTAACAAAATAAATTACAGGTCAAAGAACAAATATTAATTACATATATTTCTATATAAAACTCAGTGAATAACACTGATTTTGTTTTAAAGTGGCAATCAATATTAAAAAGATGTAACAGCATATTAATATCTGAAAGCTAACTTTTAATAAGAGAAGTTACTAAACAAGACAAATTAAGCAATAAAATCTGAAATGTAAGTTGCCTAAAATCCAGTAAAGATGTTAGGCATCACGAGTAGGTGATTGTGGAAGTTCCTGAGACTCTATTGTACAGAATGGAGGAACTCAAAGAAATGCCTGATTCATTTACCAGATTGTATATAATTTCAGCCTATAGAGAGCAGGTCATTTGTAATTCAAGATCAAATTCACTGTCATAGTCTTTCAACTAATCTATAAGTATCATATATCAACAGGCAAAATTTTGCTCCATCTCTAAAAATTGTTGGGCTGAGCAACTGTTTAGGAATAAGCACAAGAAATAAGTATGTTCCCTGTGACAAACAAGAAAAGGCTTAAAGCCATACACATCATTTAAGTCATAAGTTCTTTTCTTTAAAAAAAAAAAAAAACTCATGTAATTTTAAATAAGAATCATGTCAAAAGGATGATTTGAAAAGATTTGTTATAAGCTCACTGATTTCTATCAACTACAGATATCTTTACTAGGCTAACTTCTAGGAAACTATGTTAATTTCTGTGCTGTGGTGGTGCACACCTTTAATCCCAGCACTGGCAAAGGCAGGCAGATCTCTGTGAGTTTAAAGCCAGCCTGGTATAAAGAGTGAGTTCCAGGACAGCCATGGCTGTTATACAGAGAAACACTGTCCTTAAAAACAAACAAAAAACAACAAAAGGAAAAAAGGCTAAAAGAGAATGATATTTTCAAAAAGCATGAACTTAAGAGGTATCTGAGTGCTCATAAAAAGCTATATATACAGTGTGTGACAGTTTGGGGTTTGGTTTTGGGATCTAAGAGGTGGACAGCAGTAACGAATTAGCTGTCCTGAGGATTGAACAAAGGACCTTGAACTGGGCTACATCCTAGCCCACGTTTCTTTTATTTATTTTTAACATTTTTTTCTTTTGATGGGATCTTGTTTTCAGAAGACATGGCCTAGACTGGTCTTGAATTTGCAATCTTCTAGCTTCAGCTTTCTGAGTGCTGAGATTACAGGTTATGTGCCATCAGAGCCTGCTGGCCCATCACATTTCTAAATTTTTTTTGAGTCCTGTAAGTAGATGTGCTGGTTTAGTGATATACATATATAAACTTCTGACAGTACTACACAATATTAAGCATAAAAGAAACCTTTCCAATCTTACCCCCAAATAGTAATTACATATTATGATTTCCAGAAACAAAAATCATAAGAGAGAATTAGTTTATATTATTCTAATTTGAGTATTGGCCAATAACACTACTTAGTTTATATTATATAACAGTCTAGTTCCTGTTGGTAAAGTGGGTAGAATTAGGTAGTTAGATTATGTTGTGATTTATCCTCCCCCCAATAAAAAAAAGAAGACTCATGAAAAGTAATGGATATATAAATAGCTAGTAATGACACACATCTACCCAAAATAGAAGGGTAAAAAGTTTTTGTTCTGCTTTTAGAGATCAAAATCAGACAGAGATCAAATCAGATGAATGTCTTAATACTTTAGTCTGAACTACTAAAAGAGGGTACTACCAACCTAAACACGGTAATCTTCATATTAAAGTGTAACAAACCACTTAGAAAGAAAATAGCACAAGAAAGCATTTGGAATCTGAGCTTTGCTTTTATTATTAACTTTTCTGTTGGGTTTATAATAAGTTTCCTTGTCTATAAACTCAATAACTATGGCTGGGTTTTTTTCTTTTTAATTTGATGGTTCAAACTCTAACAAAAGCCTAGTTAAAACAAAACTTAAGAAAACTATTAGTTATAAGATCTCAAAAATCTGACAGGAAAATGGAAACACTTTTTATGAAGGAGAGAAAAACGACTACCTAAGTCTTAGATTGTTCCAAGCCACTTTTACATGGGATTAGGTGCTTTTATAAATGATCTACTTATATGTACTCCACAGACACAATTACTCTAAAATATTCAGGTGAGTAACTATACACAATATAAACAATGAAACAGCAAAGCATCAAGGTACTGACCCATGTCCTGAAGGAGCAATGAAGTATAAACAACACTGCACCCTATTATCGGGCATCTGCCGTCTGTTCACTCGGGATTCTGCATTTAAGTAATCCTCAAATTTACTGTCAATGTAGTCGATAACAGGCTGCCAGCTGTACAATGTAGATAAACACAACAAATAAGTTACAATCCTACAAATGAATGTACTGTTTGACAATTAAAAGATACTAGCTTTAATTTCATTTTAAAAAAATTCACCAGTAGAAATCATCTCAAATTGTTCTGCATACTGATTCAAAACTAGGTAAAAATTAGGGCTGCAGAGATGGCTCCATCAGTAAAGTGCCTGCTTTGAAAGCACAAGGACCTGTGTTCCCATGCCTAGAACCCATGTAAAAAGCCAGGCATAATAGCATATGCCTTTAACCCCAAGCTTGTAGGAAGGTATGGGGTAGAGACAGATAGATCCCTGAAGCTCACTGAGCAGTCAGTGTATCTAAACTGATAAGCTTTACCCTGTCTCAACAGTTAAAGGTGGAGAGCAATCAAGGAGACACTAACCTAGACCCTGGGCCTCTACATTTGAATGTACATACACCACATACACACTTATATATGAAGACATTCACATACATACACATACCACACACACAAAATAGATTTTTTAAAAACTACATGAAATATATCTTGATTCATTATTTTTAACTTTCAACTTAAAAAAAAAAGAATTGTTCTGTGTCAAAGCAAAGCACTGCTAATTAATTAGTAATATTAGCATCCAGGTACACCTTGGGGCCCTGACAGAGTGCGTCACCCCTGCATGCATTGTTAAGGTTTTTATTGTTCTAGGTTTTTGTTTCTGTTTATAAGGCAAGGTCTGAGAAATAATGGGGACAAACATTTCTTACCAATTACTATTATCCACTGCATCTCCAAATCCTGGGGTATCAACTATCGTCAGCAGCAACTGAACGCCACCTTCTTTGATTAAAACTTTGGCTTGCTCCACCTGAAAGAGTCATTGGCACACATGTTAATTATGTATAATGTAAGCTGCTTCCTATACCAAGAGGCAAGGACAATCAAGTTTCTCAAAACTAACTTGGAAGCTGTTTAAAACTTAAATCTAACCACCTATATGTTTTCTGTTTCTGTGTATGTATGTGTATGTACATGGTTGTAGAGGCCCAAGGAGTCCTTCATCAATTGTTCTTTATCTTATGGACTGAGGCAGAGCCTCTCAACTGAACTTAGAACTCACTGACACCACTAGTCTGGCTAATCATTTTGCTCTGGGCATCCTTTGTTTCTGCCACACCCACTAGACCTTTACAAGGGTTTTGATTGCAGATGGCAACTCCAGTCCTCACACTTAGACTGAATGAATATACTTTATAACCACTGAGGCATCTTGCCAGTACCTACACTTTCCTGAAAATGATTGTGGCTATTAGAGTCCTAGTTACTTTAAACAAAAACACATGCAAATAGTATGGCAAACTCATACTTCAAGTGTCTTCAGAAGTTTTAAAGTGTTTTAAGAAAAAGAGCCTTAAACTACAGCTTTAGTTCCTGACAGAATTTACAGGTTTTCTGCAAGCCCCAGCTGTATGCCCAAAGGTATATATTATCTGTCCAAAGCATATGCTGTGATAACTACAAACTATCAACTTTCAGGAGTCTGAGAGAAAGAAACCACCATTTCCTAAAAAGAGAGAGAGAGAGAGAGAGAGAGAGAGAGAGAGAGAGAGAAGATTTATTCATTTAAGAATGAGTGCTCGCTGGGCGTTGGTGGCACACGCCTTTAATCCCAGCACTCAGGAGGCAGAGGCAGGTGGATCTCTGTGAGTTCCAGGCCAGCCTGGTCTGCAGAGCGAGGGCCAGGACAGGCTCCAAAGCTATGTAGAGAAACCCTGTCTCGAAAAACAAAAACAACAAAAAACAAAAACAAAAGAATGAGTGCTCTATCAGCATGTACAACTTTATGCCAAAAGAGGGCATCAGATCCCACTAGATATGGTTGTGAGCCTCTGTGTGGTTGGTGGGAATTGAACTCAGAACCTCTGGAAGAACAGCCAGTGCCTTAACTGCTGCACTATCTCTTTAGACCTATAGTCACTGTTTCAAGGAGCAGACATATTTTCTTTCCAGGAGGCTCTAGATGTATTGATAAGCTAACTTAAAGAAGCCAAGACTTGTGTCTAAAATGATATTAGGACTACCATATTTAAGGTGAAAATGTGATCAGGGGCATGTGAAAAGCAGCTTCAGCAATTTGTGTTGGATAATCACTGGGTAGACAAAGTTTGATATACTTTTAAGGATTATGCAAATGAGGATGCCTTTCCACTCCCCTCTGGCAGATATTTCTAACAGATATTTGCTGATCAATAAAGAGACTGTGCAGCCTAGGCTAGGGTGTTTAGGCAAGAGTAATTTACAACAATGTTCAATATCACTTCTGAGATGACAAAATTTGTCTTCAACTGTACCATTCAATACAGTAATTCTTGGTTATGTGGTTACTTACCTCATGGAATGTTGATGAGTATGATCAAGGAACTGAATATTTAGCTTTATTCCATGTGAATAAATTTAAACAGCTCACATGTAGCTACCAAAAAAAACTGAACATTGTATGCTTACTATCAAGAGTTTTTTTATATATATAAAAGTAGATTATCAGAAGTTACTGAAATTGGAGAAAAGAACGTGGTCTATGGAAGGCATGTTTCCTATCTCTTGCCCATACCTTTTAGATCAATATTCTTCAAAGTGCTTTGACATTGGCTTATATTATCAGTAAAAATTGAGTATCCCAAATATAAGCATATTTATCTACTAGCAATCAGAATATTTGAAAGCATTAATTAAATATTATTAAATATGAAGTCTATATAGATTAAAAACTAAATACCAATAAACAAGAGTTTTAATTATTCATCAGTGTTAGATTATCAAGAAAAGTCACACTTTAATTTTCTTGTGGTTCTTTAGTCAAAGGATAATTGGTCAAATCTACATCTCAAAATATCTTAAATTCATTCCCATCTCTTTCATAAGAGTTATTTGTTAATGATATGTGCCATTAAAAAGAAATAATCAGAACCTAGAGCAATGAATGGCTCAGCAGTTAAGAGTACTTGTTGCCAAGGAACCAAGATTGGTTACTACCCATCACATGGAGGCTTACAACTAACTCCAGTTCCAGAAGACGTGACACCTTCTTCTAAACCTCTGAAGGCACTATGTACACTGTGTACATACACATCACATACATATAATAAATCTACTTTAAAAATTTTTTGGTTTTTTTTTTTTTTTTTTTTTGCAGGGGGGAGGGTGTTTCGAGGCAGGGTTTCTCTGTGGTTTTGGAGACTGTCCTGGAACTAGGTCTTGTAGACCGAGCTGGTCTTGAACTCACAGAGATCCATCCACCTACTTCTGCCTCCCGAGTGCTGGGATTAAAGGCATTCGCCATCACCGCCTGGCAATTTCTGGCTTTCTTATGAACAAGTCCTATGACTCTTGCAGTAATAGTACATATTAACATACATACCCTAATATGGCAGCTTTATTTTAAGGCTGCTTTTGTATTAACAAAGATTAGGCAGTGGGGCAGTGGGGCTGTAAAAGTAAAGTGGCAAAGTGATTATTTAGCATTTTCAAGGCCCCAGGTTCAACCCTGGGTACCTAAGGAAAAAAAAAAAAAAAAGTTCAACTTGTTTATTGACTTGGTAAGGAAAATGAAGCTTGTATATACTTTGATGAGTCTGTTTATAAAAACATTTTCCATCTCTAACCTATGAAATTTTGGGTATCTATACATGATCAAATCAAAGAAGACAACAACAAATGGAAAAGCTTCAAAAAATGTAACTGTAAACTAGTGCCATTCACAGGATCCAATTTTATCGTATCATCTGGTTTTGTAAGTATCCTCATGGGATCCATGGAAAACAAATTAATTCAAGCCCAGGAATTTCAAAGTTTTCTAACAATCTGTTCCAAATGGTCACTTTCCCATGCACTCTTCTTAAGCAGGTCACATCGGCATCACCCAGAATGCTCTTAGATTAAATGCATAACTTAATGCCAAAGGAATGAAATGATACAAAGGAATGAAGCAAAGGCGTTTTCCACTAGAAACTAAGTAAAACTAAATTTCATATTGCATGTGTGTTGTTGATTTACTGAGGCACCTTTAGGTTCCCTACATCCAACAAATCAAATATACCACTATTTCTAATATTGTAGCTTTTCCAGGTTAGAAAAATAAAGAGAACTCAGAAAATTACCTAACCAAGAATAGTTTTTGTAGGTCCTTGACAATATCTAGGTTATACCAAATACATCTGGACTTAGAAGTCTATAGTGTAGACTTCATTAAAAATTCCCAAGTTTTCTGATGTAAGGCCCACATCAAAAAGATAACTTTTCCTTCTTTAAGTTTAAATCTTCAGTATTAATCACAAAATAAGCATGTAGGCTCACATTCTTAGGAACACTTTTCTATAGGTAATTTAGAGGTTACAGTTTATTCCCTCTCTAAACCAAACACAGCTAAATAAGAAATAAAATATTTTCTTCACAAAACCACTCCTTAATCAAATGACTAAATTGCATCAAGCAGTGTTGGTTTGTGTGTGATATGTGTGCCCAGTGGTGTGATCACTACTTCAAATCCAGCTCTAAACACGCATGCCTCAACAATGTGTTTGCATTTTACTTCATCAGCCTAACAATAAGCTTTTAATCAAGAGTTGGAGCAGTGCTACTAAATAAAAGTATACAGTGATCCACATAAGCACTTTGAAATTTTTCAGCAGCCACTTTAAATATAGTTGATACAGAAACACTGAGAGAACAGGGTAGTGGTGGTGTGCAGCTATAAGCCCAGCACCAGGCTGGGGGTGAGGGCAGCAGCAGGTGGATCTCTGAGTTAGAGGACAGCCCAGGGCTACCCAAAGATACTCTGTCTCACAAAACAAACAACAAAAAAAGAAAGAAAGAAAGAAAGAAAGAAAGAAAGAAAGAAAGAAGGAAGGAAGGAAGGAAGGAAGGAAGGAAGGAAGGAAGGAAGGAAGGAAGGAAGGAAGGAAGGAAGGAAAGAAAGAAAGAAAGAAAGAAAGAAAGAAAGAAAGAAAGAAAGAAAGAAAGAAAGAAAGAAAGAAAGAGAAAGAACAAGCAAACAAACAACAAAAATCAATGGGAAATTACATTTTCTCCATGCTAAGTGTTCAAAATCTGAAGCACATTTTACACTTGCAGAATATCTCAATTTGGAAAACATTACAAGAGCTCAGGAGCAACATGTAGCTACAAGCTATTGTGTTGCAAAGAGCAGATTTAGAGTCTAGAGCAGCACTTATGAACCTTCGGACACAACCCCTCTTGGAGTCATATATCAGATATCCTGCATTTCAGATATTTGATTCAGAACAGTAGCCAAATAACAGTTATGAAATAGCAATGAAATAATTATATAACTGGTGATCACTAAAACATGAGAAACTGTATTAAAGGGTCTCAGCATTAGGAAGGTTGAGAACCACTCAATGCTCTAGAGTCTAGTCTAGATCTTATTTATAAAGTATATTCCGACAACCAGCAGTATCCACGCTACTTGAGTCCTGTTAGAAATGCAGAAGTCCAGTTCTACCTCAAACATACTGAAGGGACCAGCTCCCCTTTCGGCAGTCATGGCCGAACACGTGTTTGTATGACCTTGTCCTGGACACTAGCAAGTCAGATGCCTGCCTCGTGACAAGGAACCAATCAGAAGTTGGCTGGTGGCGCTATGCTTTATGACCCTGGGTGTACTTTACAGACAAACACACAGCAATGACGCAGAGCATAGCAACCACCCTGGGAGGGCCTATGGGCCATAAGAACCAGCTGACCAATCAACACAGGGCAAGCCCTCCAAGGCTGGAGGCACACCAATAGTGAGCCTGTGTGTACCCTTAGACACTCCCCTTACGCTGCCCTATAAGATCTCGGTCCTGTGGCTTCTCAGGGTCTTTGCAAGCCATCCGCCATGGCGGGTGGGTGAAAGACCCAAGCTAATGTTAGCTCGTTAAATTACAATAAAGCCGCATGCAGTTTGCATCAAGCTCTCGAATCCGCCTGATGATTGGGGTGACCGCAGTCGTGGCCTGGGAACCCAGATACCTGAGTTTTCCGGGGGTCTAACAATACAAGATCAGGAACTATATTTAGTAAGATCTCAGCTCACCAGCATGCATAGAAAGACTAAGAGGTGATAAATTGGACCACATATAACTTGGCAGTCTTACATAATTACTACTGCCATTTAGCTATCAACATGGTATTAACTCAATGTCAATAGTGGAAATGTTTTATATATGGCTGTCTAAAATAAGAACCAGTTAGCACATGTGGCTACAGAGCATTTGAGATGTGTATGATGCAATTGAAAAATTGCATTCTAAATTTTATTTAAGTTTATTGGTTCAACCTTAGCCATATGTGCAAAGTTGAGTATCATAACGGACAACACAACTCTAGGGTTATTACTACATAACAATGAATTTCTAGGAGGGTCATCAAAGCATTTATGGCAGGCTCTAGTCAAAATAATACTTCTGGTCACCTGTATACATGGTTTTGTTTTTAGTTTAACGAAGTCATGTTTCCCACTTTCTACTTAAAGTCAAAAGTGAATCTACCTCTAGACACCAAAAGAAGTTATACCATGGATTTCTTTCTCATCAACATAACTCTACTAATTACCTGTACAGTCTTTTTTATTCTATGAGAAGGGCCTGGATACTCTGGAGAATACAAATCTGTGAGGAACAATGAGTTGATTAATGTTGACTTTCCCAGTCCAGATTCACCTAAAAGAAATAGAAGAAAAAAATCTGTCAAACTCAGCCAATTTATACAATGAACATAATAATATTAGTACTTCACTAGTTAGTGACATTCAAAATATACTACAAAGACTCCACATTAAGGGTGGAGAGATGGTTCAGTCATTAAAGTATAGGTTCACAATCAAAAACATCAAGACTTCATATTAGAAAATTTTTTTTTGTTTTTATTTATTCTTCTTTCATATAATACATCCCAACTGCAGCTTCCCCTCAATCCATTCCTCCCTGTTTCGAGCACACCTCTCTTCCCCAGATCCACTGCTCCTCTGTTTCCCTTCAGAATAGAGCAGGCCTCAGAAAAAAATATCTTTATCCTCAGTTTCACACTGAGTGATGGCTAGGGTAATCACCTTGATTGGCTCTGGAAACAATGAGGAAACAAACTTCCAGTTTAGTTAGATTAGGTTAGCCTCTCGGCATGCTTGTGAGGGATTATTTTGATTTGGGTAACAGAGATATAAAGAAAGACCCACCTTAAAAGAATGGGGGCTAAGGGTTGATATCATGTCCTGGAATTACGTCCTGGACTAACTACATAACAAGAAGCTAGCTGAGACCAGCAATCAACCGCTCTGCTTCCTGACTGGATGAAGTGTGACCAGCTGCCTCAAGCTTCTGACAACCAGGCCTTTCCTGCTACTATGATTATGACCCCAAACAAACCCTTCTTGTCTTTTGTCAGGGTATTTATTTACCACAGTCACAGGAAAAGATGCTGACCAAATAAGATCCACACTGTCAAAGGGTTTCAAATAAATGTCAAATAATTTACCACCCATCTTTTCAAAAAGTAACATATCTAATACTATAATTGACACTTTAACAGAAAATGTGTTTTAATGACTAGAGACAGTCCCATTAAGAAAAAAATAGCTCGTTTAGATGAGACTGCTTCAGTGAAGTACTAATCTTTATTATAGACAATAATGACTAAAGATATTAAAAAATAGAAATCTGGGACTAGAAAGATAGATTAGTAGTGCTTAAGAGCATATACTACTCTTGCAAAGGAACCAAATAGGTTCCCTGCACCCATGTCAAGAAGCCTACAACTGTCTGTAAATTCAGTTCTAGGGAATTCAATGCCTCTAACCTCAATGGGCACCTGCACTTCCATGAAGAGAAGAAGCTAGGGCATGATTTCTACTGTGATCACATATTCATTTTTTATGTTTAATAATGCCAAGCATAGAATTCAGTCTTACCAAAACATAAATAGCTTTAATGTATACATTATACAATGTTAACTATACTGTAAAATATGATGATTGATAACAGTTAATGTACTTATCTCTACTAATTAGTATACAATAACAGGCATGTTTTCAAAAAATAGCATTTATATACACAGGTTGGTTCTGTTTATAATAGCTCACAAAAGATTCTTACAGCTAGCTGGGTGGTGGTGGTACATGCCTTTAATCCCAGCACTTGGGAGGCAAAGGCAGGCAGATTTTTATGAGTTCAAGGCCAGACTGATCTACAGCACTAGTTCCAGGATAGCCAGGGCTATTACACAGAGAAATCCAGTCTCGAAAAACTAAAAACAAAACACAAAGAAAAAGAAAAAGAAAAAAAAAAAAGAAAAAGAAAAAGAAAACGAACAACAACAAAAACCTTACAGCTGTAAGATATCCAGAGAACAAACAGCAGAATGGTACAAGTTCTTCACTGATATTTACATGTTAATTTTCTAGACTCAAAAAAAAGGAGAACCTGGCCTGACAGATAATATTGTGCCTCATTGGTTTAGGACTAAAAGAGCTGGAAGAATCTGAAAGCTTTTCAATCTCTCCTAAAGGAGATGATGTCTACCAATATATTATCAGGAAGCCCTTAAACAAAGTTAAGAAGCCCAGGAACAAAGCACCCTGATTTAGTGTCTCATTACTCCATGTATCCTACAACAAAACGCCGACAACACTGAAGAAATGATGCACTAAGAAAAACAAGGAGGCGGCTGTAGAATATGCTTAACTTTTGGCTAAGGGAATGAAGGAAGCCAGGATCACACTGCCAAGAGATATAGACTGTCCTTGCTGAGAGCTTCTAATTCTGAGTCTGACTCCAGTCAAAAATAAGTCTTTAACAGTAACAAATAGTCAGACCTTGAAAAAAAAGAAAAACTGAAATAAAAACATACATTTTCTCATCAAAATTAAATAAAACTGAGGCTGTGGAGACAGCTCAGTGGGTAAAGCGCTTTGCAATGAAAACATGACCAGAGTTTGATCCCCAGTACCCATGTAAAAGCAGGATGTGACACTCGAAAAGCAGAGACATGAGGGTCCCTGGGGACTCACCAGACAATCATCAGTAAGTCTAGGTTCAGTGAGACCCTGTCTAAAAAACAAGGAGGCAAAGTGAATGAGGAAGACTTCTGGTGTCAAGTCTGGCCCACATGCATGCTCACATGAGCACACATACAAACGCATAAAATAAACCGAAAAATTCACACATTTAGAAATTCATATACATACTCTCATGTAATCAAAGGATCAATGATGGGGAAAGTCCATCATTGTGTATATGTTTGTCTTATTGGTTGATAGACAAAGCACTGTTGGCCAAAAGGAAAGCAAGATAGGTGGGGCTAGGATAGGAGTTGAGGAGGACTCTGGGAAATGAAGTAGAGACCGAGGTCACCATGTGATCACTGGCAAGAGAGGATGCATACGGCTGGTGTCCTTGATAAGTCCTTATAAAATATATAGATTAGAAGTTATGGTTGATAATGAGCTAGCATATAGAAATCCTAGTCATTGGCCAGCAGCATTGTAAATAATATTAATTTCTGTGTGTCTATTTGGGTGCCCATGTGGAGGCGGGGCTCAGGCAGCTGGCAGAAAAAGTTATCCTTACATATCAAAGAGGAAAAGACAACAGGAACTAAAGTACATACAAAGAAAAATGGCACTAAGAAAGGCAATGCAAGGGAATTGTCAGTTTTAAATGCTTACATAAGAATGATGATCTGATTCAAAAAACTACCTTTCAGTTTAATGGATCTAGAAAAGAGTAAATTAAACACAAAACAAATAATGGCTATGGCAGACCCCAAAACATAACAAACTAACAAAAAACAGAAAAAGAAAAATGAACAAAATAAAGTGAGCTGTACAAATGGGCCTTCAAAATTAACAAGTCATCAACTACACTGAGAATAAAAGAGAAAAATTCAAATTAATGAAATTAGAAATAAAAAATTGCTATTATTATTATTCCTAATTTTACAGTAAGAAAAAGGCTAACAGACTACTATGAATATGCCAACAAATTGGATAACACAATAGACAAGAATCTCTGAAACATGTTATGTCCTATAAAATCTGAGCCATGAAGAAGAAACAGTTAATACATTTACATCTTGGAAGAAAACTGAAGAACTAACCAAACTTTCCACCAAAGAAAAGCCCTGGGCTAACAGCCTCACAAATGAACTCTACCCAGCAATTAAAGAAAACCAATTCTCTTCAAACTCTTCTCAGAAATCAAGAGGAAGAAAATCGGCTGGCACCATCTTTATACCAAGCCCAGACAAACATTAAGCTAGGCATAGTTGAAGCCTGTAATCTCAGCACTCTAGAGAAAGTAGGAAGATCAAGAGCTAGAGGCTAGCCTCAGTTACAGACACATATGGACTAGGAGATAATGTTATATGAGATAGTTACAAACAAGCAAAGAACAAAAAGGTGTGGGGGAGGGGACTCAAGATCAACACCCCTGGTGACTAAGAATGCAGAACTCCTGAAGAAAATTAGCAAAATGATTCATACAACACCACATTAGAAGAATTATATGCCACTATTAAGCTGAATTTATACCTTGAATTCAAAGATTCATCATAATCAAACAGTAGAATTAAGAATAAGAAACATAAATCTCAATAGATACCAAAAAAGTAACAAAATTCACAATCCCTTCTTGAAAAACACTAAACAAGTACCTTAACAAAATGAGAGCCATATATGTCAAACTCACTGCTAATACACTCTATTACAAAGTCAAAATCTGTTCCTCTAAGACCATTTAGCCAGAGATGTTCACTCTTGCCATATATAGAGAGAATAATAGGAAGTCCAAGTCAAGAAATTAGATAAGAAAAGGACAAAAGGGGAATAACATAGAAAATTTGCTTGTTTCAGGTGGCATGATTTTTATATTTAGAAAACTCTAAGGTCTACACCAACCCCACCCCCAAAAAAGAAGTGTTTCCAAACACTAATAACAAACTTTACAGGAAAGAAACCAAAGGGAAGTGGGAAAAGAAACTCACTGAATTAGCCACCCAAAAATATTAACAATAAACCAGGCGTTGGTAGCACACCTTTAATCCCAGTGCTTAGGCACTCGGAGACAGAAGCAGGCAGATCTCAGAGTTTGAGGTCAACCTGGTCTACATAGTGAGTTCCTTCACTCAGGAATATGAAAGAGATCCACATGAACTATCAAATAAAAGAAATGGAAGACAACACAATTAAAAAAAAAAAAAAGCCCATGTTTATGAACTGAAATAAAAATCAGCATTGGTAAATGGCCACATTACTCAAGAGATCAGAATTCCAAAGACATTTGTGACTGATGCAGAAGAATGTTCAAATCCACAGGGAACCACAAAAAGACTCTTGGATATCAGGGCTATAGAGATGACTCAGTGGTTAAGTGCACCTGTTGCTTTTACAGAGGATCCAGTATCCCCATGGTGGCTCACAGCCATTCACAACTCCAGTTCCAAGGGATCCAACACCCTCTTCTAGCCTCTATGGACACTAGGCACAGACATGGCACACACATAAACATGCACGTAACACACACACACACACACACACACACACACACACACACACTTACAAATCTAAAAAGAGAAAAATATTCTGGGTATCAAAGAGTAATAAAAATAAAGGCATTAAACTGCCCAATTTCAGAATATATTAGAGATATTATAATGAGAACAGCAATTG